ATAGATAGATAGATAGATAGATAGATAGATAGATAGATAGATAGATAGATAGATAGATGGATAGATACTGTAGATAGAGAGATACTGTAGATAGATAGATAGATAGATAGATAGATACTATAGATAGATAGATAGATAGATAGATAGATAGATAGATAGATAGATACTGTAGATAGAGAGATACTGTATATAGATACATGATTGATAGACAGAAGTTAGACATATAGATAAATAATAGATATACACGATAGATGGATAGACAGACAGATAGAAGTTAGATATATAGATAAATAATATATATATTATCTATTATCTATCTATAAATAATAGATATATAGTATATAGATAAATAATAGATATAGTAGATAGATAGACAAATAGACAGGCAGAGATAATAGACAGATATACAGACGGATAACTTGGGGAGAAAGCCAGGCCTGCAGGTAAACCCAAAGCCAGGCTTTCCTCACTTCAATCTAATCAACAATCTCAGTCCTCGCCTCCTTATTAATCTTTAATAAGATTACTGTTGTGAGTGAATCTCTGTCTCACAGTTGCTTTTTATACTCTGGAGTCCTTGGTGCTCTCTGAGCTTGGTTGTTTGCTTGCAGATGTTTCATTACCTAACTAGGTAACTTCATCAGTGCAGGTGAGTATGGAATTGCTCCCTGTGTTCTATATAGTAGCTTGCTCTGTCAGTTTTGGAGCGATGTGGTCCCTTGATTAGTGCATTGTTTTAGTTTTTATACTAATTTTGCATACTTGTTTGCACGTCAGGATTCAGTTTCTGTATTTTATTCTTTTTAGCACATCCTTTTCCAATGAGCTGAAGAAAGACTCTTCTGTTTTAAATGTTGGTAAACCTCAAGGAAAATATGGACCAGTGCCATCACCTCAGACAAAATTCCTCACCCAGCATCCCCTCCACGAGCAGGGAAACAGTAGAGATTGGTCTCAGGATGTACAGAATCACACAGCCAATGGCATAATAGCACAGAATCATTGGGACTCCCAAGAGAAGCGGTCTGCCCACCGTGCCTGCAGAAACATTCAAAATGACTGTGATGCCGTTGAGAGCAGTTTGGTAAATGGAGAAAGAGGAAACACTAGTACGGACTCATTGCCAACCACAGCAACTTGCAAGGGGCCGAAGATCAAGAGCCATCTCTGGGCTCCAGGTGCCAATTCATTCCCATCTGTAAAAGAAGCTGGAGAGATGATTGCCAATAAGGAAGAGAAGCGGGTTGAGCAAAGCAGTCAGCGAGACCCTAACACGGAGACAAAGGTAAGAGGGCTGGATTGTGGCAGAAAAGTGATTGACCCACGAGTAAAATAACATTTTGTAAAGAAGCTTCTGATTGTCCCAAGAACCGTTTTGGTAAAGGCTCCACATATTCTTAGACTCGTAGAAATTTGATATGGCTTTTTATTAGATTGCTTATTAGATTAGATTTATTAGATTGCCTTGGAGTGTCCTTTGAAATGGTGAGCCTTGCCTTTACTGATAATCCAGTGTTTCTCAACCTTAGCAACTTGAAGATGTCTGGACTTCAACTCCTAGAATTCCCCAGCCAGCGAATGCTGGCTGGGGAATTCTGGGAGTTGAAGTCCAGACATCTTCAAGTTGCCAAGGTTGAGAAACACTGTGATAATCCTTTTCTACCAACCACTTGTTCAAAACTCAAATTTGTATAGTGGTGTTGAAAGAAAAAAGACAACTGTTTTTTGAAGTGTCATCCAACAGTCAGATGATTCTGATTTGAGCACTTGAGCAATTGGCACACATTTATCACAATCAACAGCCTCCATTTGGTTTATTTTTGTTTGGTTGATTTTATTTTATTTTAGTACAGTTTTAATTTTTTTTGTATGATTATAAGAGTTATCCCGAGGTAAGATGGGCAGCCAATGAATTTTATAAATAAATAAAATAAAATTTGTGACACTTCACAGTCAGCTTCTGACAAGACAAACTCAGCGGGAAAATCAGCAGGAGATTGGAAGTTATGGTCACTTGATGTTGACCATAACATGGTGATTTCCTTAATGACTGCAGCTGGAACTATTATAAGTCGATGCAGTCACATGGGACATTTCACTTAATGACCGTGCTGCTTGCAAGAGTTATCCTTCTCAGTTGCAATCAGTAAGTGAGGGTTACCTGTATTTCATGATGTAAGTCTAGATATTAAGAGCCGAGGTGGCGCAGTGGTTAGGGTGCAGTACTGCAGGCCACTTCAGCTGACTGTTATCTGCAATTCAGCGGTTCTAATCTCAGCGGCTCAAGGTTGACTCAGCCTTCCATCCTTCCGAGGTGGGTGAAATGAGGACCCGGATTGTTGTTGGGGGCAATATGCTGACTCTGTAAACCACTTAGAGAGGGCTGAAAGCCCTATGAAGCGGTATATAAGTCTAACTGCTATTGCTATATTAGGGCCTTTCCAGACTGGGGGGCTGCTCCTGGATCATTACCGTTCCTCTGTAATGACATCTTCATGGGACACCAATTTAACATTTTTCAATATACTGAACTCCTCCCCCTTTAAAGCAGGCACATCCCATTGGCTGAGGCTCTCCCCAGTTTCCCGCCTCTCTGTTGATCTCCTTTTCCTTCCTTCTGAATAGACACACAAGTTTGTAAAATCCAGGATGCAGCACTGGTTGGCCAGAGGCAATTATTTTTTCTGTTGTAGGTGAGCTGGAGGGAACAAATGTCATCTCTGGCTCCACAGTGGCTGCCGTCAATAGAATTGTGGGTTTTTGTGAGAATGGCTCTGGGGGTTTGGGAATAGGTGATAGATCCTGTTGTGACCATTTCCTTCTCTCTCTGTGTAGTAGGAGTACACTTTCTGTTCAACAGGGGAAGCGCTCTGGAGTAAGCGTCCTTCCTGTGAAACTGGGTGGAATGATACACTTGGTATCACCATCAATCTAGATATGAAAGCAGCTCTTAAGGAGTAGTTTGTTATGAAGTTCCCTTCTCAATTGGAGTGGGCATTCTTGCTCAATTTTAAAACCTCTCCTGATTTCTCTAAATGGACAGAACAGTTCTTTTGCCATATATATATATAAATGGCTGTTTGTGTGTGTGTGTGTTCCAGCATAACTCTGGAACGCCTCAAGCAATTTCAATCAAACTGGGTACGCAGATGACTTATTCTCTTGGGAAAAAAAATACTTGGAGGGGGGGAAAGACACTCCTAACGCCCTTCGGGGTGTGTGTTCTGTTAAGATACATCCCATTGTGCCTTAATATGACTTCTACTGTACTGCCGTAAAATGGCTTCTACTGTACAGCGTACAGTATTGTAAGGGCTTCACATTACTCCATAAGGGAGCTCCCTCCGGTAAGAGGGAAAATCCAATATTACGTTTGGTCTGGACATTTTTCCCCTATAAATAAATACCCAGGCAACGCCAGGTTATCAGCTAGTGATATATAAGAAACTAATGGTGGATATCTAGAGAAGGTGATGAAAGGTATCAGCTTAGTCTGATCTTCTCACCATCTGAATCCCTGAATTAATGTTACAGCATCTATCCTTTGATGACATTTAACACAAGTAGTCCTCCACTTACAACAGTTCACTTAGTGATCATTTGAAGTTACAATGGCATTGAAAAAAGGGACTTATGACCATTTTTCACACTTAAGACCATTGCAGCATCCTCATGGTCATGTGATTTGTGTTCGGGTGCTTGACAACTGCTTCATATTTATGACGGTTGCAGTGTCCCGGAGTCATGTGTTTCCCTTTTGTCAAAAGGGAAGCCAGATTCACTTAACAGCAAAATTATAACTTAATAACTGCAGTGATTTACTTAAATGTGGAAGAGAAATCATAAAGTAGGACAAAACTCACTTAAAAATATCTCATTTAGCAACATAAATTTTGGGTTCAATTGTGGTCATAAGTCAAAGACCGCCTGTCCCATGTCCAGTGGTGGGTTACAGATTCCGTACCGGTTGGAACGGCCCCGACGTTACCCACATGGATGTGGGGTGCACGCATGCGTTGTACTTGCCTGTGACGCTTCCGCAAGCCTCCGCAATGCTCCAAGTGTGGCCTTACCAAGGCATTATAAAGTGGTATTAACTCTTCACGTGATCTTGATTTATGCTGTTTATGTTTATGCAGTCTAGAATTGGGTTGGCTTTTTTGGCAGTTGCTGCACACTGCTGGCTCATATTTAAATGGTTGTCCACTAGGACTCCAAGATCTCTCTCACAGTTACTACTATTGAGCAAGGTACTACATATACTGTATCTGTGCATTTTGTTTTTGTTGCCTAAATGCAGAACCTTACTCTTTTCACCATTGAATTTCAT